CTTTCTACATCTCTTTCTCCTGCCAACAGAGGCTTCTCTGCCTGGGGGGCTCACATCCACCTGAGGAGACAATGCCAACTCTGCATGGGGACACGCTGGCTTGGAGGCTTAATGTTCCTCCAACTGGACATTTTATCTTCCCTGTTCTGGATGGGATAGTGCTGAGCTGGCAGATGAGATTAAACCATGTGCTGTTTAAAGCTATAGCCAGTGCACTTTCTTCAGCATGTGCTTTCTGTTTCACAGTTGGAAGCAGACAAAAAGGAGAGCAACAAGTAAGGGCTGTTGGAAAAGAGAAATGTGTATATTTCTTTTGGCAAGGAAGGCACTCCACAGTGAGTGAAAAAGGAACATCGGCACTGATGACAGTGGAACTCGATGAAGAGAGAGGAGCACAGGTGAGCTTTCTAGGTGGCAGGCCTGGTAAGATTTGCCTTCCCAGGTAGCCACTAATGGTAAATGGGAATTGTCTTTTTTGGCGTCCTCCCTTTCTGTAAAGGTGTTCTTGCCATTACAAATAGTCAGACCTCAGAATTACTTTTGGCGTTACTCCAACTGCCAGAGACATGTAAGCTCCTTTATGGATTGTCATTCCCAAATCTCACTTCTAAAGATTATACTTCTGAGAAAGGCTGAAGGAGGTCTTCTCTCCTTTCAGGAATATGTGAAGCACATATTCATGCCTTCAATTCAAGTACATGTTCAGATAACAGAACTGTCTTCCTAGTGCTGAGGAGAAGCACTTTCTGCAGGCCAAGACCAAAAAATTAATTTGAAATTTTTAATTTGTTTACTCTGTAATTAAGACATAAATGGCCTTGTTTTTTATAGATTCTAACAAATGCAGATGCAGCTAGTTTGAAGCCAAGAGGACAGGCTAGCTTTCTTTGTCTTTAGGCAGACTTGGGCTATACTGTGGCTTCACCGTTACCAGCATCCTAGGTGGGAGGTTTAGAGTTAGTTCCTATACCTTGATCATGCTGTAATTACTTTTTTTAACAGCAGTGTAGACATGACCAGCAAGACAGGAGTTCATAGAATAGAAATGTAAATGCCCTTGTTCAAGAGCGAGTCTCTGCATCAAAGCTGATTGAGCAATTTGCCACGTCAGTTTCATACTCAAAATACAACATTTAGTGAGCAGATAACATGCACGTGGTCACAGGAACCAGTTTTACAGCAAATTTTGAACACATTTCAGTTCCTCAGTTACCTCCATAATGCTTTCAAAGAACATCAGTGAAGGTGGACCAGTTCTGTAAAGAGTTCAAATAATGTAATGGTTGGCGTTTAAACCAATCTAAATCAAAGTTTATTTGGTATTCCTTATCCTCTGAAACTCTTGATTGTTGGATTCTAGCTAGAAGTTTCTTTTAATATGCAGGTCACATATGAAACCCATTGCATGCTGATATATGGTAATTTAAACAATAGTCAGCAGTTTTAAAGCAAAAGGAAAGCCATCTTCATGGATGGCCATAACTATATAATTTTTAATAATCCATAGAGTCTAGTTTTTCTGAGTCTGTATACTTGCTTCATTTTTCTAATGAAAAGTGGTGCTTTCAATTTCCAGGTACAAGTGCTTCAAGGGAAAGAACCCCCATGCTTCCTGCAGTGCTTCCAAGGAGGGATGATTGTGCATGCTGGAAGAAGGGAAGAGGAAGAAGAAAATGCACAAAGTAAATTATTGTTAGTTAAGAGCTTCTGCCCCAAAATCCTTTTTTAGATATTGTGGAGGGCTTTGAATTCAGTCTCAACTACCGTACCCTGTAGAAAGAGGAAATTAATGCCATGAAACTCTTAAGACAGCTTTGCAATGCTTTGTTTCAAGGTAGTCTGTTTCTTCTTTGAGCATAGAAAGATTGTATTGGTGCACATATAAATTGTTCTAGTTGGTTTCTAATTAAGCTAAGTACCTGTTTGCTTTAAAATGTATTCTTTTTTACATAGGGAAAAAAAAAGGTGTTTTTATGAGCAGTTCTTCTGCTCCAAGGAAAGCTCTGAGCTTTTGTTACCCAATCACTCCTTTTTGTAACATATTCCTTGAATGCTATAGTTGAGGTAGGAGAATTTCAATGCAAGTGTAGCTTGGACATGTTCCAGTGTGCACCTGAATGTGACCTTCTGTGCCTAAGGTGCAGAGGGGAAGAGGAACTGATAGGAATACTGTATTTGTCTTCCTTTTCCCCCCTTATGAAACAGCAGAACTTGACTGTATTGCTCTGTTAAGCTCTTCAGCTCTCATTACTTGTACTCTTGTAGCAAGGTTTCAGAAGGCATCTTTTCTGTACTGGGGTTTCTCAAGTAGTGTTAGCCAAACCTGGTGCTTAGCTAGTTTGTTCTGTGACCATGTAGGTAATGCAGTAGGTGAAATTCATCCAGTGTGAGAACAGCTGTTCCAGAGGAGAGGGTTTGAATTTTCAATGCCATGTGACTGTGTAATACTGCTGCACTGTTCCTGTCTGCTCCAGGTGACTGGAGGCTATATTGCGTGCGAGGAGAAGTTCCCAATGAAGGAAACTTACTTGAAGTAGCATGTCACTGCAGCAGCCTGCGCTCCCGGACATCCATGATTGTCCTCAATATAAATAAAGCTCTTATCTACCTGTGGCATGGCTGCAAAGCTCAATCTCACACCAAGGATGTAGGAAGAACAGCAGCCAATAAAATAAAAGAACAGTGAGTGTCTGACCTATATTTTGGAGATGGTTATATAGGCTATCAATTTACTTAAAATAGTCTGACTCAAAGAAAATTTGAAATAAATAAATCTGTCTTCTGAGTACAAATGCAACATGTGCATGCTTGGTGAGGAGGACAAGCTGGTTTGGTAGAGGGGAGAAAATGTTCTGTAATCACTTTCACTGAAGGTCGAATGCTTTTATTAATAGACTCATAGAATGGTTTGAATTGGAAGGGATCTTCAAGATCACCTAGTTCCAACCCCCTTGCCAGGAGAGACACCTTCCATTAGACCAGGTTGCTCAAAGCACCTTGAAAACTTTCAGGAATGGGGCATCCACATTCTTCCTACTGTACTAATTACAGTTGCAAAAAAACCCAGACACTTTCTATTTGGAGGGCTCAATATCTGAATACCAAATTAAATTACAGTTGATAAGAGGATTAGAGTCTACTCTTGTGAATAAGGATGAGGAAATTATTTTGGGAAAGCATGCAAGGAGGACATCAGCAGTTACAAAAGCAGGCAGTGAAAATCCCTACTTGAGAGCTCACGTAAGCATCTCCTCCACTCTGGGAATGGGATCAGAAATGGTATGAGAATGGTTGTTGAAATTCCCTATCTTGTTTTTTGATAATTTTTCAAAGTGCTTGTGTTGACATGAAGTGTACAACAAGCCTAGAGGGTACTTTGGGGTTCTAATAATGCAAATGGCCAACAGGTTTGTGTTAGCTGTGTTTGGGGCAGGAACACTGGGTTCACTCTCTCTCTCTTTGTGTTTTGTAGATGCCCACTGGAGGCAGGGCTGCACAGCAGCAGCAAGGTGACAATTCATGAATGTGATGAAGGGTCAGAGCCCTTGGGATTCTGGGACGCGTTAGGAAGGAGAGATCGAAAGGCCTATGATTGCATGCTGCAAGGTAGATCTGCCTTCCTGGATTTGGCACTCACATTTTACTTTACTGGTCTATGGTATTGTAAGATTTAATGTAAAGTTTTTGAAGAACTTCTTGATAGTTGAGATGATCCCTTCAGAGAGATGCTTCCAAAAATCTACTGAGTTAAGTCATACTTTTCTAGAATGAAAGTGCTGGAAAACCAAGTGTTTCATTTTGTTCTTCCCCCTTCTGCTGCCATCTGTATTCAGGCAGCTCAGAGCAAGAGTTAACACCGTTACCAGTACACTTTGCTTCTCTTCTGAAGGGATTTAGGAGGTACTTCTGCACACATTCCCATCCAGTCTTTGCATTGAAACTGCCAACAAAGGTAGCAGGGGAGTTGATTTACCAAGTGGAAAATTTGTTAGCTAACTCTGAGTGAGCTTGCTTCAATTAAGCTGCAAAACAGCCAGTTATGAAATGGCTGATAGTAACTAGCCAGGATCAGATTCAAACTGATGGCAGCCAGCCGTTTAGCTCAACTTCTTCACAGCTGTTGCTAGTCTGCCAAGACATCTGGTTGTCTTTCCTGATTTTTCAAAAACCAGAGAATTTACAGTCACTTTAAAAGTGGCTGTAAATTATGTTTTTATTTTTCACAATCATCTCTGACATTTTCTGTTGCAAATCTTCTTAAATTCTGTTCTTTTAAGATCCTGGAAAGTTTAATTTCACCCCCCGACTGTTCAGCCTCAGTAGTTCATCAGGAGAATTCTCAGCCACTGAGTATGTTTACCCTTCAAGAGACCCTGCTGTCATCAATTCCATGCCATTCTTGCAAGAGGATCTTTACACTGCCCCACAACCAGGTATATGCTTTAAAATACTTAAGGAACAGGAAAACAGATAACTGTATCGTGCAGCAGACAGTGCTTCAGTAGCTGTAAGCACTTTTAACTTGATTTATTGCAGGAAAATGTGTGCACGTGATGCTTATACAACATTAAGAAATAACTAATTTTTCCCTTACAAAGATGCTGAGAACTAATTGAATGTATATGTATCCTAAAAGCTTGCTATAGAAATACATTGTTTATGTCAGATAATCAGAGTCCATCTGAGGTTTAGCTGGATGATTAACAAAAGGGATTGGTAAACTGTGAAAGGATCCTGTTGTCATGCTGCCAAGCATGTGAGACTGGGGTTGTTTAGGGGATTATAAGAACTAATAAGTGGCTGATGATGGGTTTGTTATTTTCTGACTGCTTAGCACTGTTCCTTGTTGACAATCACCATGAAGTGTACCTGTGGCAAGGCTGGTGGCCTGTGGAAAACAAAATCACTGGATCAGCTCGAATCAGGTGGGCTACAGACAGGAAATGCGCCATGGAGACAGTGCTCCAGTACTGCAAAGGTAACAGATTGCTGTGCCTGACTGCTTTGAGAGTGTCATACCTTTCCATGCCTTGCTGTCTTGAGCTGAAAGGTGCTTCCCCTATTTTATCAATAAACATCAGCTTATTTGAAGATACATTCTCCACTCTTTCTTAGCAAAGAATTTGCCTAGTAATAGCATTGTTCCCAAATTGCCAAGATACTTTGCTGACTTAATTCTCAGAGGAAAGGTTTTATTTTTTTTCTGTGCCCCTAGTGGAGGAGAATAGCTCAGACATCAGATCTCTAAAAGTGAATACTGAGAACACACCCTCGTAAACCTGAATGCTTTCTGTATAGCTTCTCTTAAATTTCATAAGCTTCTGTGTATCAAAAAGACTGAATGAAGATACTGTTGGCTGATGTAACTGGGTGTTGATTTAGTGGGGGAGGTGGAAAGACTTTGAAAATCAAGAGCAAGTCTCACATGGAAACTGGTGGCTATTGGAAATTCCGGAGGACAGAGCCTCAGCTCTGTCCTCATTTCTGCAAGATAGTTGTTGCCACTCAGTGTGCAGTGATTCAAGCTGCATTTGATGATCATGTAAGAGTACAGTGCCTAGAGATTATTTTCTGCACTAGTAGAGGTTCTTTGAGACACCATAATGCTGCCTTCTCACTTCATCTACTATTATGTGAGGCTGAGAATAGTCCTTGCATCTTCTGACAGAAGATGAATAAAGAAAGGTGTGAAGTTACCATGCAGGAGAGAGGGCATAAATAACAGCCGTGTTCTGTTAATTCAGAGCAGTTTCCCACTGTGAACAAGTCGCTGGAGCTTAATTGGTGCAAACTGTGTCCTCTTGCAAGGAAATCCTGATTGCTTATAGACCTTGAGACCTCATGATGCCACTGATTTCTTCTGTAGCAAACAAACTTCATAACTTGTGACACAGTGGATGGTAATGCATTGTCTCCCATGGACATTTGTATATTTGAAGAGGGAAAGTGATATCCTGGTTGGATTCCATCCTTATGCCGATAAGCCAGTCTTTGCTTTGCAATGTTTAGGTCAAATAGGAGTAACAACAAGTGTTGTGTTTCAGTTGTCTTGTGTCACTGAGTGGAGTCAGTAACACCTGGCAGGAGATAGCTGAAAACCCGTACTCCAGACATTGAAATGTGACCTTTACTGGACTGCATTATGGCTCAATGTAGTTCATCAGGTGTCTCTGGCACTGCCCTGCAAAACAGCAGCATTTGTTTAGGAATGGGGGGCTAAAGACAGGGCAGTTATTGGAAGAGTCTTTGGCTTTGACTGCAGAATTCCTAAAGAAGAGGCCAGTTGCTTGTTCACCACCACCCCCAGTTTTTGCAAGTCAAAGATTCATTTCTTTGAAGCCATGTCATACAGCGTGAAGGTCAGCACAGAGGAACAGAGTCCCATGCAATGAAGTGCCCAGAGCTGCTCAGCAGGCTAGGGAAAGATGAAGGTAAGATCCCAGTCTCATGCACTCCCTGATGCAGTGCTATAATCTTCTGGTAATGAAAGTCATGTTTTCTGGTCCCAGCCAGAGATTGAATCAGATGCACATGCTGAGGTTTGGATACTTTTCCAGATTTCTTGAACTTTGAGTTTGATGATGGGAAAAGGGATTAATGCCTTCTGCACTAGATTGAATTTGCTGCATTCAAGTTTTATGCACAGTGGGAAGTTCTTCAGTGATTCCTCAGGGGTCTGAAGTTTAACTCGTGTATCATAGGACAAGTTATTTTGCTGGGTGCTCACTTTGCAGCACTTGTGGTTTTTAATTTCTTTGCCATGGGTATTTCTCAAGAGTTTCAGGCTGTGTGGTAGGATAGATACAGAACAAGTTTGTTACTGTTAAAAGACCAATTCTGCTCATACTATTTCTAAGCTAAAGATGATGCACACTTCTGTAGCAGTTTTTTTCCATTCAAACTATGCTGTTCTGGTGGTGTGTTGCTTTCATGATCTGGAATTTTGTCAAGCACTTCAAAATTTCACTGCATCAAGCCGTCAGGGCTGTCTAGCTCTTATGCGGTCTTACTTCTCAAGGTGTAGAAATTTAATTTCAGGAGTTATTAAGGCTGCTGTAATTATTTTGACTACCAGAATGTAGTTGAGTGATCAGAAGCATTAAAATACCTTTGTCTTATTTTTCCTCTCCATTTCTTTCCTCATCTATGTCCCCCTTTTCCTGCCCTTCCCCTTTTTCTTTTCCTGGCTTGCAGTGTTTGACTACATGATGGCATGAAAGAGACTGATTAGCAGTTCTGGATATCCCTTGAATATATGTAGCAGTTTCCCTTGTGCATAAATCTCCTTTAACTTGTCAAAATATCTTGAAATTTTTTCTTTAGTTTTATTTGCTAAATCAGCAGTCTGGAGAGTCAAGCTCCAGACTGCCAGGAGAGGGAAGAATCTGGTTTGCCCTTCAGTGTTACTTACTGAGGAGATCAGCTTGTGCTGAGGACAGAATTCATGGAATGAAAATATTTCTCCACTTATATATAAATTCATCTTACCTATACCAGAACATTGCAAACACCACTCTCTTTTTATTCTTGGCTCAATTACTGAGAGCAGCAGTAACTAGAACAGATTCACATGTTTTTTAAATGCACAGATTTTTAAGTATTTTTTTAATAGTTCATGGTAGAATGAACAAATAAACCACAAGGAAAATATGTGAAAGAGAAGGCTTAAAATCAAGTATTCAAATGATAAATCCTCTGTCTAAATTCTAATTCACATTCTAATACATTTGTTAGACTGCTCCACAGAGCTTTTACCTCTAATATGCAGTTTCATATGAACATATTCTCTCAACATCTGAGGTAAGGCCAAACCTGTAGCATTCAGATTTTGCAAACCTAAAGGAACTCCCATGTCCAGCCAGACCCTCTGTTTGCATTCAGCAAAGGTGTTGCATGAGTTCCCTGGGGTGCTCCTTAGCAATGGGGAGGAGCTGTGTTCTTTTAGATCCTCCTGCCCGACAGCCCATAGGCATCAAGTGCAGGTAGGGACTACAGTAAAAACCAGGGCCTTCTGCAATGGAGGAAGTCTTAGGGCATTAAAGATGCTCTGAGACTGAATGTAGGGAATAACAGAATTTTTTAATAAGCAGTTCTTACAGAAGCTACAGCTCTCAGAAGCGAGGTCATGTCATGTTACTCTGTTACTTTCACCTGTGAGCTTTGCACCATCTTCAGCTTTTCCATTGCCCATCTGGAAAAAAGATTTGTTTAGACTGAGTTGTTTGAATCTGAGTAAGATGAAGGTACAATATATTTTTTGAATTATAGTTTCTCTCAGTCCCTGGCTGCCTGTCTACCTCTTTTCAATAATACTTGGAGTTTATCAGGGCTTTCGAATCCCTGGGGAATGAAATCATTCCCTTTGTTCACTAGGACGTGGCACAATGACTTTAACCACTTAATCAGATACATCACTGCTGGGCAGGGTTATGTCCATGTCCTGCTACTGTGTGCACAAATACATGTTTTAAAGAAGCAGGACTGTCTTGGAAATCATCAGTAAATACTATCCAGCTATTGCTGGATAGTTAACTCTGTTAACTTTCAGATCCAATTCCTTTGAATTCATAATAACAAAATTATTGTGTTACACTTCAGTATCCCAAGAACAGTTTAAACATTCTCACTTAAGCCTCCAAGCTTAAGCTTTGTTGGCTGCTGGCAAGACACTTCTGCTGAGCATGCCAGAAGGTTTCATTTACCTGAATTTGGCTGATTTCAGACCATTACACTCTGCTTACTCTATTCAAACTCTGTTTTTGTAAGACAAGAAAGGCACTGGGTTAGGAGTAGCTTTTGGAGATTTTCAGCATACATGTTTTGATCTTTGTGGTCAGATACAGTAAAATGCAGGTCTAAGAATACTGAAGAACATGTTAGAAGGTCCCTTGCTAATTTTCAAGAAAAAAAACCCTGTTGAAATTTATTCTTACTGCCTTAAATTACTTCAGCTTTTCAGGAAAGAATTAAACATTCTAAGGAGGTAGCTTTGGATAGTGGGTTGCATTGCAAAATATGGTACCATTTGTAATTTCTCATTTATCTTTTTTTTTTCTTTTTTTTGGATTTTGACTGTTTTTAGGAAAAAATGTAAAGAAGCCCCCAAAATCCTATCTAATTCATGCTGGCCTAGAGCCTCTGACATTCACTAATATGTTCCCAAGTTGGGAACACAGGGAAGACATCGCGGAGATCACAGAAATGGTAAATCTTTTCATTGCACTGGCTGTTTCCTATTGGTAGTAACTGTGTCTTGTGTTGTCAGTAACATTTGTTTGTGCTGTTTATGACAGCTCGTTTGTGCTGTCAAGCCCCAAGATCCAGAGAATGAACTTAGAAAGCACAGGTCAGGAGTCTGCGCAGGAAAAAAACCAACAACATAGCTGAAGTCTGACTGGGAGCATGAATATCAGAGGCATTCCTTGTTGCTTTTTCATGTAACTTTTTATATTCTCTTTTTGTAAAAACAGGAAGAAAGTGTTACCTGAATCATCTCTTAGAAAGAGATGTGCTAGAGTTTAGCAGAACAGCTGTTTCAATCATGCAACAACATGCAGTTCTGGTCTGTCCACTAGATTTAAAGTGCAGGGGAGCAAAACACCCTGCAAAGGAGCAGCTGGCTCCAAAGGCTGCAGTACTGACTTCCTCACCTGGGATGTAGAGTCACAACCAAATTACGTGTGACTGCTTTAAAAGCTTCCAGTCAAGAGGCATCTCAAGGCAAATGACATTTTCTGTTTTGTAAGTCTTCTGCAGCCATCTTTAGTGCAAAACACTGGCTTCATGACTTAAACGCAGATTTCAGCCTCAAACTGAGTACAGGACATCCTTCTGCTAAGTGCAGACGTGTTTTTAGCTGTGAAATTGTTGTGGGGCAGGGTTTTTGGCCTCTGTGCACACCTGGATGTACAGCTCTGTGCTCCATGGCCCAGGCAGAGCAGGTTATCCCATGCTATCTGCAGAATTCCATGAGCACGGTTGGTGGTTTCAGCATTGTGATCCTGTTCTCCATTTTCCTTTTCTCTTCCAGGATGCGGACGTTTCTAATCAGATAATACTTGTAGAGGATGTGCTAGCCAAGCTGTGTAAAACCGTGTATCCATTAGCAGATCTTTTAGCTAGGCCTCTGCCTGAGGGAGTTGATCCACTGAAGCTTGAAATTTATCTTTCAGATGAGGACTTTGAGGTAAGAAGAGAATAGGTGCATTGTTACTCTCTGCATCTGTGTCTAACCATGCAGTAAAGCCATTTGCCGGTTATGCTACTTAAAAGTGGTTTTGCTAATGGCATATCCTCTTGTTTTAAATGCAGGTTGCATTAGAGATGACAAGAGAGGAGTACAATGCACTGCCATCTTGGAAGCAGGTTAACCTGAAGAAGGCAAAAGGACTTTTCTAAGCTGTGTTTATGGGAGTGAGCACTAAAGGGATGTCCGTTCTCACTTTCTATGTCCTTTAGAAGAATTGTACCCTATATTTACAGAACAAATAGAAATAATCTGAAGTTATTAGTGACTACCTATCTGGAGGTGTGTAATATTATAAAAGGCCAAGAGAACTCTTTGAAAATGGAATTCAATTTTGACTTTTAAAGGCAACATGTTTAAGCTCGGCTCTCCTATGCACTTAAACAGTAGTTTCTTGAACTACTGCTTCAGGTGTCCTTTGGCTATATACAATACTTGCCATTTTTGTTTTTAAAGAAGTTCTCTTTGTAAAGTGTTATTTTGTTAGTTTGTGGATTACAAAGAATTTATATTTATATAAACACATAGAACAAGTATGTATTTAACAATGCAATATATATTCACTTTCAAGACTTTCATGTCAAAACTACAGAAAGGTAGCTGGATGGCAGTTGCTTGTACTGAATTAGCTATACCACCAATATGTATCTCCTACACATTCTGAAAAGTTTCTCTTTGCAATAGTTTAAGAATTGTTCTCAGTGCTGCTTCAGGTGCTAAACCGAACAAAGCGTTTGTATTTATAGCATGGATTTCTTGAGAAACTATGCGAATCAACCTTTATACTTTATTATCCAAAAATGTATAGTGCCTTGTTTTTTGTGTACAGTTTATATACAAAAAAAAAAAGATTGGTCTGCATTTTGAAGATGGCTTAGAACAGTCTCCCATGTTACTTTTATAATAGTAGAAATAAAAACATCTCAGTTTCTAATACTTGTTGTAAACATTAAAAATGTCTTTTGTGATATAAGAACTGAAAGTAAAAGCTTCTGAATAAACTCCTAGCGATGCTCTGGCTTGTCATTATCTTGTACTGCTAAGTAATTGGAACCTTCCATAACGTGGTATTTTCTCAAAATATTTTAACTTTAGATGTCTGCAGGTATTGTACAGAGTTATAATTTGAGAAGCAGATAATGTAGAAAATAATCAAGGTATGAGATAAAATTATGTTGGGCAACACTTTAATGCTGAATGTTGGAACAGTCACACAATTCCTGTATCTTTTGGGTTTCCCTGTTTTATATATGAAACCAAAATTGTTATGCTGATTTTCAAACTTTGAAAAAATCTTTTCAACCTTTGTGCAATTGGGAGTAAAACTTGAGCTGAAAATGAACATTGTGTCCATTCTTTCAATAAGCACTAAAGTCAAAATCATTTTCATTCAGCTAATTACGACATTGAATAGAATCATCAGGTAAATATTTGCTATTGTTTGAAATGGTTTTTTAGGCATTTGAAATTTCTATAACAAGTTGTGTGGTTCCCCTCTGGTAGATTAGTAGGTTTCACATTTTCATTCTTGCCAGCATAAGTTTCCTTCTGCCCCATAGCTGTTCAGAGCTGCTCCTGGCCTGCAGAGGTGCTGTTGCTGCTCTTATCATTCTCCTAGGCCCAAGGAATTGAAGTAAGACCTTTGAATGTGTGAGGTCCGGATTTCCTCAAGATCTGCAGAAAGTATTGCTCCACAGTTAATCTTGCTTTGACAGATGGGTTAATAAGTTGTAAGCAAGCTTTATAAGGAAATTAATTAAAAACTTAGAAATAAAAAACTTAGAAATACACAAGTACAATTCACCTGACCTTTTACAGGTGAATTTTCAGCACTGGAATATTTCCTTTCATGTACGTGGTTTCTGTCAAGAACTGAAATAAAATAACCCAAGAAAATCACAGCAACAGTATTCAGATGCTTCTTACACAGCCTCCAGCAAAAAGGTGTTTAGATGCCAGTTCCTCAGAGGTCCTCATCTGCCTTCTGCATGGGATACACTATTAGTTTGAAAATGCAGGTCTTTATAGTGACAAGTTTATTTTTCAAGCACTGAGAGGTTTCCAAAGTCACTGCTGTATTCGTCTAAGTATTTTTGCACCCATATATTTTCCTCTTTCACCCTCTCTGGTGATAAAATCAAGCAGGAATTAGGTTTTGATTATTCATGTTCAGTCTGTTCCATGGGGGTAGCAGGTTTCTCTGTTTTGATTTTTCTACTCAACAGACAACAGCTGATTTGCATAGCATGATTGACCTTGGTTTTCCCTCTGGCAGGGTAGTATCATTTGCTTTTGTGTTCTGAAAACACCATCAGTCCTTCAAGTGCTGCTGAAGGGCAACATTCACCCACCTTTAAAGCCTTTAGAATCTCAGCTAAAAGGCAAGATGAGCCAGCATGGGACCCACAGGCAGTGAAACAATTCACTGTTGTCAGTTCCTGTAAATCTTACACAATTTGGTATCTAATGTCCCAGTGCCAGGAACCACTACACAAAACCCAACTTTCTACTCAGGTGCTTTGCTCATAACTTTGCCCAGGGAAGCTTCAAGGTTTTGCAGAAAATATTTTATTATGTTACTTATCAAAATGCTTTTCTGAAATGTGAAGCTGGCAACAGAAAGCAAGTCAGTGTAAGGACTCAGACAGAACTAATTTCCTACTACCTTTCCACTCCACTATGGGGATGCCATTTATGGTTGGAAATTAGAAACACAGAATATGCCGAGTTAGAAGGGACCCACAAGGATCATGGTGTCCAACTCCTGGCCCTGCACAGGATTATCCCCAATAGTCACACCGTGTGCCTGAGAGCATTGTCCAAATGCTTCCTGAACTCTGTCAGGCTTGGTGCTTTGACCACTTCTCTGGGGAGCCTGTTCCAGTGCCCAACCACCCTCTGGGTGAAAAACCTTTTTCTGATATCCAACCTAAACCTCCCCTGGC